TATCTTTTCATGAGAAAAACAATGTTTCAAAAAGACATTTTCATGTGATTTTATCAATTTCGAAGGATTCTAACCTCAAATATTGAGAAATGTCAAACTTTTTAGTTGAAAACATCACAAAAATGTTATCAAATTGTGAATCAGAGTCACTTTTCTGCCTGAAAATACATAAATCTCTAAAATATTGAAGTTTCTTTTGAGTTCATCGACTATTCATCGAGAAATCTATGAGATTTCGAACAATTCCTCTCAATTCTTAATACTTTTCTGTCCTCTTAGGCACAATAAATGCCCTTAAAGAAGAGATTAATATGATTTTGACGTCTTTTCCTAGTGAAATGATGACATAAATCACTCTCGATGACCAAAACATCAACTTGTCCACCTCCAAAACACCTTGTCAAAGCAACGACGTAGCAAAAAGCTCTGAAAATCACAAATTGTCTGACGCTTTTATTGATTGTCGTCGATTTTGTCTTTCGGCTTCTCACATGACGATGAAAATTGGATGGAGGTGAGGAAAATTGATGAAGAAGTGGCAAACGAGACAAAAAGCTTCCCAACTAGAAGAATGAAGACAATCCATATACAGAGAAGTCTCTCTCTTCGTCTTCGCCAACCAGCGAAAAATGGCCCAATTTTGTCAAGATGCGATGGAGGGAGGAAAAAAAGAAGAGGAAAGAGAGCAAAGTGTGCTGTGTGGACTCATGAGGGTGAAAATAATGAAAAACCTGTTGACTCAAATGATATTCCTTCTCCTCAATATTCCCACCCACTTTCTCTGTCTCCTCCACAACAAGTTGCATTTTATATGCTCAAGTCCGTCGCCACAGATTTTGTGCTGAAGTCAACGAAATGCCGAGGAAAGAAATCAGAAACACACGATATTGCCATAAATTCAACTTGTGTGTTGTTTGATGTGGAAAACAGAAGGAATGAATTCCAGCCAACACAAATCTGATAAAATCTCCGCCGGATTTCACCCAATTTAACATAATTAAGTACAACATATCCGCATGTCCGCTCTTTAAGCTGTGAGGAAACTTGACCCATTGTTTTGTGTCAGTCGAAAAATCTTGTTACAAAATTTATATTGCAATAAAAAACCAGGTTTTCTGACACAAAATATTCTTTCTAGACAATTATAGGCAATCTTTTGTCCTTTCCAATGCGCTATTATTCTTGAAAATCCGCTGAACAAAAGCGCTTGAATGAGCATTTTACTGAAAAGTGCGTGACACGACAATTATTGCAATTTAACAAATTCCAACAAAACACTCCTAAAAACGGGTAAAACATGTTCTGACACAAATTATGTGTTTTAGAGAGTTGTAGGCTGTGAAATCACCTTTCCAAAACGCCATTAATTTTGAATATCCGCCAAAAATTAGTGCATTTATGAGTATTTTAACAGTTGATTTTCCAAATTCGTGACACTTTTGACAATGTGATTTTACCTGACTGAATTTCTCCTGAGTGTCGAGAATGTCAATGAAGAGCTTCATGCGATCGTCCATGACTTGGAAGCCATTCCTGGGCATCATCAGCAGATTCTGCACGGCCTCGCGAATGGATCCCGGCGTCGTGCTGCACGAACTCGTGTCATCTGGCGAGCTGTAGGGATTGTTGCTCTGCTGCTGAGACGCCGCGGCGCGTCGGATCTGCTCTGACGTCTGTCGCAGCGCCTCAGAGTACTTCTTCAGATAATCCACAGCATCCATGCCGGCGAAGTTGTCCGTCATTTGCTGGAAATTGTCGAGAATCTGATTGAAATCCACCGTTGTGGCAGCTTTGGCGGCCTTCTTCTGATCGGCAAATGTCTCCAAATCCTGATTCATGATGCGCAAATTGTCCGACACTTGCGCAAAACTCTGCGTGGTAATTGGACTGTGATGGTATTCGGCGAAATCTGTGGATTTGGAGCGAAAGCGACTGGGATTCTCAGCCACAGATTGATTGTGTTGCGGCTCTTTGAATCTCGCACCGCTGTCAGGAACTTGATTGGACCGAATGGCATCGAGGAATTGGCGCAGCTGATCAGACGGCGTTTGTGGTTCCGCATAGCTTAAATTGCCCTCCTCGCCTCTCGGCTCCTCCTTTATATTGCTGCGAATGTTGTCCAGGAACATGCGAAGCTGCAGAGATGGTGTGCTTGGCGGCTCCTCTGGTGGATTCTCACCACAATTGTTGCCACCGTTCAGCATCAGCTTCGAGTCACTCTTCGACAGCGGCAGCTGCGTCTGCTGCTTCACCATCTGCTGCCTCTTCATCTCCGACAGGATTTTCGCCTGTTCCGAGTACTTCCGCACGCTCTCCGTGATGTTCTTCAGCTGCTCGGAGTAGAGCCTGAGCTGATTCTCCAGGAATGTCTGATCGGGAACTGTGCCGTAGGCGTAGGAAATGGGCCGATCGATCTTCCGCCGGGCGCCAGTCAAGTCGCCCTGCGGATCGATGGCGTGCCCGAAGCTGTATTGGCCCATTGTCTGGCGCTGCAGCGTCGCCTGGCCGTGGAAAGTGGCGGACTGTCGCATGCCGGTGGGCGGCGGTTGCGCCTGCAGCAGGCCGGACTGCGAGAGGCGCCTGTTGGCCACCGGCGGCGGCGTGGATTTGCCAAAAGTGGCCGTCTTCTCGAAGCCATTGCACCGATCGAGACTCCGCGGACGCACGGGCGGCGGCGGCGTGTTGCTCTGCACGCCGGCGCTGGCCACAATCGGCGCCTGCAAGCTCTGCACGGGCCGCGGCGTGCTCTGCGAGCGACGCTGGACGAACGGACCCACCGCCGCCCCGCCATTCTGCTGCTGCTGCTGCTGGGCGGCAATTGGGGACGGCGGCGTGTAGAAGTTGAAGTCCTGCTTGCCCATCGACCTCACCACGGACGGATGCTGCGGCAGGAAGTGCCTGGGCGGCGGCTTCATCGGCCTGGCATAGATTGAAGCGTTGCTAAATTCGTTGCTCTGATTCAACGGCGACGCCACGGCAATGCTGTGCGGCCGCTTCGGCCGCACCTGTGCATAAAGCGCCTCTTCCACGGCCATCGGATTGCGTATCACATTGTTCTTCGTCGCCTCTGGCTGGCCATAGTTGCTCACAAATGGATTATTGAGATGCAAACTGATGTTCTTCTCATCAATCCTCAACTCATTGCCACCATTCAGCGCTATTCGGCGATTCATCGTCGCCGCCGCCTCTTGCTTGCCCAATCGATAGCCATTGAGTGTCGCCGGATTTGCCGCTGATTTACACTTCTCCGTCGGATCCTCAGCCTCTGTCGTCCTGCCGGGATCCGCACTGCCATTCTGATACTGTGTCGATGTCATTTTATCACCCCCTCAACACACTCTTTCTCCACCCCTTCTTTGTCAATTGTGTGCCAATAAACACTCTTTTTTCGCAGCGCTTCAGGAAACTTTTAATCAATCCCAAAACATGCACGACATTTTGCACAATTTTTCACATTGTCTCTCTCCCATGAGAAATGTCCAAATAAAAAACACCCCCAATTGTCCGCATTCATTGCGCCAATGGTCATTAAACCGGAGGAAAACAGCACAAAGTATTGAATTTCTTCAAAAACACACACACAAAACACAAAACACTGAGTGAGAATCCGTGATATTTGCACGGGATTCTCTCAAAAAACACCGCACATCATCAAATTGAAAGATAGGCGAAATAGTTCTCTGTTTACAAGAATTCCAACCAGGAGAAGAGGAAGAAAACGGAGGATCACAAAGTTGTAAACACAAAGAAGTGATTGTGAATTATAATTAGCCTCGCAAACGGCACTAAAAGAGAATGAAAAAAACTCACACCGCGAAAAATTAGAGTTTATTCTTTATAAACTCTCCATTTGCCTGATTCAAATACATCATTTTTTTCCTTTTTCAATTCCACAAAATATTGCGGAAGGTTCAACACTACTCGTGAGAATGTTAAGAACACACAGAGAAACACTCAGGCAATGATAATCAATTCTTTCTTCTTCGTTTTTTTCAGGGGGGAAAGGAAGAGAGAAACATGTGTGAAAATTCGAGGAGTGAAACAACAACGATGTGATGTTGCTGCAAGCGTTGCGACGCTCCAACTGAGCCTCTGGTGATGTTGGATATGTGATCAAAAGAGGTCCAGAAGCAGCATCCAATCCAGATGTTGCGCCGCTCTTACCCCAAAAACCCACTTCTCTCTCTCTCTCTTGCTCTCGCTCTCGCGCATTTTCCCTCCCCTTGGCGAAAAGCGCCGGAAAATCCGCTCTTGTGTGCCAATGAAGAGAGTCGCAGTGCATTTTCCAATGTCATCTCTGCATTAGACCGCTTTTGCAGACAAAACACCGGCTTTTCTCTCTCTCTCTCTCGCTCTCTCGCTCTCTCAATTTCCCCAGCTTTCCCGCGAGAGTGTGTTTACTTCCAGTGCAAAAAAACAGGGGAAGAACGAACAGCCAATTGAGCGAAGGAAAGACACAAAATTCCTCTCCATATATGAATTAATCCAATTTCGTGTGAAATTTTTTTTAATTTCCCTCCCAAAACACGGTAAAATTTCCGTGAAAAAGTAGTAAAAAATAAAAAAAACACCCCAACTTTACGATGAAATTAACAGTGCGGAAAAATGTACAAAATTCAGAGTACGTGAAAAAATGCTCAATTGACTGTTGTTTATCAGCATTTTTCTCCATCTTTCTCCTAATGTAATTTCATTTTCACCCATCAATAATAATAATAATAATAATAATTGTTGGTTGTTTCTTGCATCGAAAACAAGTCTAATGATTAATATTCTGCGCAAGGAAAATCTTCAACATAATTACAACACATCAAAAAAATATCCAACGTTAATTGCGTCAATATAAAGCATTCGTGAAAATTTGATTTCACATCTGCGCGACTTAACGGAATATTAAAATCTCCACAACAGTCGAGACACACTTTTCCACCCACGCGCGAGCTTTTCTGTTCCCAAAAACACACACAGAGAAGACACAATCAAGCGGAGATTCAACTCACCTTTAGCACATGCGGTTCTTGCTCAGCATTCTCGCAGATTGTCTCCGCTTCGCTCTCGCGTTCGCTCAGCCACGCCAGAAACTGCAAGAAAGTGTGAAGTGATTGAGAATGTTGAGGACAAAGTTTCCTGCAATTTTTTGTTAAATCTCATCACGTTTTTATTAGTTTCTCGTCCATTTCCCAGACATATTCTTCACACACACACAAACTAACTCTCCACATATTTAACTGTCTCAAGATGGAGAGAATCAACGGAAAAACGAATAAAATATATTCTAGACACATTTTCTACATCTCTGAATGATTTCTCAATGCTGCTAAATTACGCGTATTTTACAGCTGAATAAGGATGTTTAATCTTTTACTGTTTGTTTGCAAAAATCAACTGTTTTTACATTAAAAAACATATTTTAGATGTTGAACAACGCGAATTTGTGGTAAAAATACTGTTATTCTGTCATTTTGAGAAATAATTTGACAGCTGTCAAACTAAAAACGCACTTTTTCTAGTGTTTTACTGAACTTGTGCTGTGTAAATCATAATTTCGACGCTTAATTCGTCCAATTCTCGTTTTTCAATTGACATGAAATTTGACACATTCAAATTTTACCGAAATTTTGGAAATCTTTATGAAATTTTACTTTGTTGTCTTTTAAAAAAGAAGTTCATATCTATTGATTTGCGTTTATTAGTAAATTACTTTGAAATTTTGAGAAATTATGTGAAATTTGACTTCGTTTGTTATATTTTCGGAAAATACGGAAATATTTTGACAGCTGTCAAACTTAAAACACCTTTTTTTCAACGTTTTACTGAACTTGTGCTGTGTAAATCATAATTTCGACGCTTAATTCGTCCAATTCTCGTTTTTCGATTGATATGAAATTTGACACATTCAAATTTAACTGAAATTTTGGTAATTTATACGTAATTTTAATATATTTGCCACATTTTTTATGAAAAGTTGTCTTTTAAAAGAGAAGTTCATTTCTATTGATTTGCATTCAACAGTTTTCACCAAAAGACTTTGAAATTTGTCATATTTTTCATGAAAAATTGCATTTTTTCATGGAAAAACGGAAATTATTTCGTCTTTCACTCAAATTTAATTTTACTATCGTTCATTTTCTGCTTTCGAAAAATCATGTCTCAAAAGCTCCCGAACCAATTATTTACCAATTAATTACACGGTAAAAAATTACATAATTTTGGGCGAAATTAATTAATATCCGCTTAATTGATTTTCCAGTTCATAGAAAATTCATAGACAAACTTCTTCGTGAATAGAATAGAAATTCTCCCCAAATTTCACTCACTTGATCCATTGTCCTGTCGAAGGATTGCAAATTGTGAACGGCGGCGTGCAAAAGTTTGCCACGATTTATGACCACGTTGTTCAAATTGTTGTACCTGCAGAGAAATGGATGGGAAAATGTGTGTTTGATTAAAATTTATGCTCACAATGTGAATAACATTATAAAATCACTTTTTTTATCCGCTTCAACGGCGAATAAAGTGCAATATTTACCGCAAATTCACCGATTCGGTCATTCGCTTGATTCTCGATGTGTCGTCAGTCGGATAGACGGCAATCAGCTTCTGTGTCAGTTGATTGAACAACTCAATCTGATGCTTGTATTGATGCAATTCCGCATGGAATGACTGCAAAAGGGACATTTTTTGGGGCTGTGAGAAAGAAAACTCCGCGCAATAAATGGCAAAATCGCGCGAACCTTTTGCTCCTTCTGCTGTGCATCCAGGACATCAGCTGTCGTCGCGACACTTCCCATCCTATCAGCGCGATTCTCCATTCGCTGCATCCAGGCTTCAATCTCCAGGCGCTTCGCTTCGTATCTTTTCCAGCAAGGAAGGAAGAAAAGACAGAAAAACAGAGGAAGAGAAGGTTGAAATTGTTGGATAAAAAACTGCGCTTGTTGCTCTCAAATGTTGGGAAGATTCCTTTGGCAAAATGCCACAAAATCTTGTTGGGACTCTTTCATGTTTTTTTGCGCCACCCTTAAACTCAATATATTCAAAGCATGTACATTATCCTGACAATTTAATTAAATTAAATAGAAGAAAACTTTATTTCAATACTCTTTCTCCTTCCGCTCGTCCTTTTGATCTTTTCCCTTCCGGACTTCCATCATCTCTCTTTCTTTCTCTCTCTCTGTCTGTCTTTATCTTATATTTCCTCCCAAAACAGTTTCCACCAAGAGAAAGGGCAGAAAAAAATGCGAGGAAAGTCAGTTGTTGGCACACAAAAAAGGGCTTCACTTGAGAAATCTCTCACTGGCGGAAAGCAATATTTCCTCTTGACTTTTGTGCAAAATTTCCCTTCACTGTCCGTCTTTTCTCTCACTCTGTTCAGCACAAGGGGGAGATAATGCGACTAAACAGTGTACAACAGAATTATTGAGAAGAATCACAGACATTTCCAGTCCTTAAAACATGCGTTTTCCTTCATTTTTTCACCCTCTTTTGAAAATTTATACATTTTTGCAACTCATAACCTCAAATTTAGCAGTTTTTCACCTAAAAATACACAATAATTTACTTGTGTGACTCTGAAAACTTACAGAGAAATAGTTTTTAAGAAATATTTGAAGTTTTCAGAGGATATTTTGATGTATTTTGAAACATAACCTCAAAATTATCTTGATATATTTTAAAGAATTCTTGAAGGAAACTTATTGAGAACATTTCGTAAATCAACAATTACCTGAAAATCGCAATTTTAGAGTAAGAAAATTAATTAAACTGCTTTTAAAATAGACAATTTTATATCTTGAAATCATATTTTAGAGGTTATGATCAATCTTAGTCCAATTAACATGAGTTTAACATTTAAATCTTGTAATTTTCATCAGATTTCTTTATAAAAATGCGTGAATTTGTAATATCTCCCCCTTGATTCTGTGTCTATTTGATGACTTTCCACCCTCTCATTTCACAAACCCTTAGATTGACTTTTCCACAAACATTTTTGAACTGAAAAATAGCAAAATTCCCTGCCGCGAAACTTCACTGTATATTTTCCAATCTATCGCACAAGATGGAAAACTTTATTTCCCGAGCGTCGCAAACTTTCTTAAACATCGTAATGAAACTTTAAGTTGAAATAGCGTAGAAAAAAAGGGGGCGCAAAAAGTTGAGTATCTTCACTGTAACAATTGACATTACATCTAATGCTTCTCCTCAGTGTCTTTGTGACCTCTTTTCACCCCCTCCCTCAATTCACCCCCGTCAAGTCTTAATGGCTTCACTTTTGCCGAAGAACAATTGATTGCAAAATCATATTAAATTCCACACTTGAGAACTGTGTGCTCTTCCAACCAGTGTTGTGCCTTTACATGGTAAAAAATACCTCTTTACATTTTACACGTAAAGAATGTGTAAAAAATGTAAAATGTCATGTAATATGTAAAAATTCTTTTCTGAAGTTTAAAAAAACTACTGAAATTCCCGTGGAATTCCCGTGGAATTCCCGTGGAATTGCAGAAAATACTTTTTGTCACATACGCGTGAAGTCGCAAAATTGTAAACAACAGTGAAAAATCAGGAAAATTTGCAAATTGTTGGCATAATTGAGTAAGGTAAGTTAATAATTCAACAACTGATGTTCCAATACATTTGTTTGACGGAATATCGAAGTTTTACTCTAAATTTTACAAGCAAATTTGCTAACTGAACGTATATTTTTTGTATTCTTTTCGAGGTGCTTCTGCTGCCGATTAACCATCGAGGAAAATACCAAGCAAGGAAGAAGAATGTCCATCCAGCAATGGACAGGTCTATGGAATGTCGGATCGCATTTTATGAACTTCATTCTTTAGATTTTGGGCAAGAGAAGACGATTTTCATGCCGATTGCTTCATTTCGTTGTTTTTTGGCGAATAAAAACCACTTTAAGCACACTTGAGTCTTCTGACAAGCGCTTCGGACATCCCAGGAACCCCATAGACGCCCGCAGGATATGCTTCGATGGCCAATTCCTAACTAAAAACGTCTCTTCAGAAATCATCTTCACATCCCTGGACAGAAAAGAACAACGTGACAGTTGCTTATTATGCTTATCCAGAATGCACAGCGGGAAAAATCCATGTTTAGCAAATATCTTGGCAAGAACTTCAAAGATTGCAAGAGATTAAATTTTTTGCCTAAGAAGAACCATTTATCCGAGAAACCTGTCTGCATATTTTGGTCTTAATTGCCTAAACGAGGGTGTAAAATTCACAAAACTCTTAATGATTTTGGCTTCATGGAAAAACTCCTGAAATAAATTCTCGATATTAACAAATGTTCCATTCGAAAAATTGAACCCAATTTTCATATTTTACATTTTTTCTTTATATGTAAAAAATAAAGTGTGTAAAGAAAACATTTTTTTACCATGTAAAGAATTGTGTAAAAGTAAAAATGTAAAAATTTCGCCCAACACTGACTAAATATGCTGAAAATCTATTTGTCTCTTTCGCACTTTCAGCTATGGTCAATGACGGGTGGTAAAAGTTCGTAAAAGTTTGTAAAAATTTGTTATATTTCGTAAAAATGTTTAGATTTTTACGAAAAATTACTTATTTTTACACATTTTTTGTAACTTTTCGTGAAAAGGGCAATTACTATCGTGTTTAACAAGCTTTGTCACTATTTCAACTATTCTTTTCTTTCTGTGAACACTGAAACACTTATAAAAGCTGGAAAAAAAGGAAGGAATTTTTCCTCCATACCTTTGAGAGTCGCCCAACATCGCGGCAAGTTGCGATTTCCTCTGCAGAACACATTGTGATGTCTCGTCCCAATGCTCTCTCAAGCGCGTAACTGCGAAAAACAGGGTGGGTTAATGACAGTGCTTTTGATATAGTGTATAAAAATAAATAGGGGAGAAATTGTTATGAATAATTAATCGCTAGAACAGCGAGAAATGCAAATTTTCCACTCTTTTGCACAACTTCTTTCTCTCTCTATTCAACAAAACAATAATCGCGCGCGCTTTTCAACGTTATGCGAAGCGATGCGTGAAATTTCCCCAGCTTTTGTCACACCATTTTCTACATCTCTATTCATATATTTTTTTCAGTTATAGAAATCCATCTCAAGAATTTTCACTGCACGTCTTTTTTTTTAACACTTCTTTTCCTCACAGCAAAATTGCCATCTTCTGTGTCTCAACGGGTGAATGGAAAACTATGAAAAAGTCGATTAATCAAAGTTTTCGTTTTATGTATTTTTTAAAAAGCTCTTTATTTATTGCTTCTGTACAAAAATTTTGAGATTTTTATCATATGAAACAACAGTAAAAAAATATTATTTATCCAAAAATCACAAATGGAAAAAATTGTCAGGTTTTATTAATGAAAAGTCGAATATTCATTGTTTACGCCGTATAATTTTTGTAAGAAAAATGTCTCAAAAATTGCAGTCAAACGCATTAAAAAATGCCTTTGTTAGATTCTCAAGATTATCTTAAAAGGTTTTTTAGGACTTTGAATGAATATTTCTCATATCTTTTCAATTTTTCAACTCGAAGACTATTAAAAATCAACTTTGAAAAGTAATATTTTCATATATTCTATTAATTTTGCTATGTTATAGTGATAAATTTCAATAAACAGCAATAAAATCAACTAAAATATTTACAAAATAACAAATTTAGAACAATATTTGCACTTTAACGGACATTTTAAAGGCATTTTGATGATTTTCGCAGCTGTATTAACGCTATATTTTGAACTAACTTTTCTGAAAAATGGCGATTTTAGCTTTTCATAGCTTTTCATTCACCCTTCGGTGTGCGATCGACAACAGAACAACCGCACATGTGAGTAAATGTCAACAGACAAGCCAAGAAAGCGAGCAGATTAAGCAAATTCATGCAGAAGAAAGCTTCAATGCTTTCACCCCATTTTTCCCCTGTGTAATAAAATAAACAAATAATGTGAAAACACCCCCTAAAAATCCACCCTTTCTCTCACATTCGAAGTCACTGTAAAAACAGTCATTTAAAGTCGTTCTCACACTAAATGCGACTGATTGTGATGTTTCAATTAAACCAAATTACACGTCATTCATTATTTATGAGCACGAAAAGCTCTCTTTTCCATTCAACCCTGTGCATTTTCATAAACTGTGCGCCCACGGAACAGATTAACATATGCAGCTGAAAAATTTTCATATAATCAGCATAAATTATTCACCCATCATAAATTATATTGCGCACATCCTCGCACACAGAGAGTCCCTTTTTCCCGCCTCGCGAGACACTTTTTGTCAATAAATCATTCAAAAGCGCACAGAAATACACACACACACAATGATCCTGGTCATTATCCGGGAAGCGTAGCAATTAGCGAAGCACACCCCTTAATTAGGAATTAATCAATGTTTTGCACAACCATCATTCTCACAACAGCTGCCGATATATATATATATATATGAATATAAATCTTCCACCCTCGCAAATTGACACATGAAACGCTGAGCGACACGTTTTTTTTCTTCTACCCAAAAACCTTAGGCACAATTGTGTTCAGCGCGGTGAAAAGCTCATTTACACACCGTGCTTTAAGCTCACGCGTGGGTGATTTGATCGCAGTGTCAATATTTTGGGTAAATAGACACACGCAAAGCTAAAAAAAAAAATGCTTCTCGCAATTAATCTCAGCATCGACGGATCATATTTCAACGGAAATACAAGGAAAAGCAACACAAATCGATTTATGCCAACTTTACAGGGTGTTTTTCAAACCAATATCGCACTCGAAGAGTGTATAAATGCCGAAAAAATCAAGTTGACACGATTTTCTGGGCGGGGCATTGAAGTGGGCGTGGCTTAAGCGAACCAAACACCTGCGAAACATCCTTTATACACCCCTCGATTGCGCCACTCTGGACTATTTATCAAAGAACACCCTCGTTACCTTTGAGACATGCTCTCAAATTATCCAAATCACATTCATATTTCGATGGGAAAAAGCCCCAAATTTCTCCTGTCACCCTCACCACTCCACTCCTGGCACATTCCTCAGCACTCTCAGCGCCTCCAGAGCCACCAAGCTGTGACTCCGTATCAGATTCTTGCGTTGGCATACAAATTGTACATAATTTCAGTGTGATTGTACGTGCGACAGGCATTATTTACAGAAACACAGTGAGAGTGTGAGAGATGGTTTTTAAAGGTGCACACAGGTGAGGAAAGATGTGCGAATATTGTTGACAATCCACAAGAAGATGGAGAGAAAAGAAAGAGGAAAAGAAGTTTAAGACAAGTTTGAATAGAAAATCAATAATTTGAGAACTTCTTAAACATTCTAAATGGACAAAGTAAGAGACAATTAGTCTATTCATCGCGCGATGTTCAACATGAGAAAGTCAATTTCACCCTTCTTCTTCTTCTTCTTGAAACTTTGCTCCTTTTCACCGTCAAAACTTCCTGCAACTTCCCTCAAGACATTGTACCGAGAAATCTGACACAGAAATTGCACATTTGAGAGAAATTTTGATAGGAATTTTATTATAAATTCCTTCAGAATCAGCACAAAAGGAAAAGAAGCTTTACATGCATGCAAAACCCGCTCAATTTCTCTCTCTTTCTCTCTCTCTTCATACACACAGAAGAAGAAGAAGGAGGAAGGAAAAAAAGGTGAAACATATATGAAAAATCGCATGACTTCAAAAGACTCTGAGTAAGAATTCTTATATATAGGAAAAATCCCCTTTTCATATTTCACAGAGTGCCAAAAAAAAAAAGAGAGCAAGAAAACTCAAAAGCTCACCCCAAGTGAAGATGAAGCAGAAAAATCATGAAGAGCTTTTTGGAGGGTGTGGAGAAAATGATGGAAAATCAATTTTTACCCTCTGCAACTTTTACATAAAGGAATTTCTTCATCAAGAAAACACCCAGAGAAAATGTGTATAAATTAACTCACACCGCCAGAATTATCACAACAGAAAAAAGGCTCCAGCGTGACGAACCGACAAAGAGAGTAAACAGGACACGGAGAGGAAATTGGTGCAAACGTAATTAGGATATAACCAGAAATGCGACTCCTTTTCGCGAAGCCATCGGGATAAATATATTTTCATTCACCCGCATTTTCACAAGGGAATTTATTCAATTTTATCCGCGCCTCTCTTCGCATTTTCAAGGGTGTTTTTCCCCCCACTTTTCCTTCCCTCCTTGTGGTTTGTCGGCAATATCAGATCATGATCAATAAAGTAAACTTGAAGGGTAACTTTTTGTTGGTTGGAACAAGAGAAGCTCTGATTTTGAATGTGCAAAATTGAAAATATCCTCTGGGCGTTTTTCCATCCCCTTTTTGCACCAATATCCAAACCCTTGATTCCAAATTTACTCCCACACATTTTTCCACTGCAGCACTCACAGCAATCCTTCCAACGCTCGCGAGGCAAGACCAAAAAGGAAGACAAAAGGATGCTGACAGGGAAAAGTGCAGCAAAAAAAAAGGTCTTCTAATGTATGCAAATAGAATAAAGTCTAAATTCAATTGTTCTGTGATTTATGTTCTTCTGCCTGGAATTTTCTTCCAAGGCTCAAAAAAATGTCCTTCGTTGTAACACATTTATTGACATGCTCAGAATTCTCTCTCTCTTTTGCCATCTTCTCACATCTCACGATAATTGAATAGGAATTCGTTGCCATCGGTCTGGCAAAATCCTCCCCATTTTTCCTTCCTCCCCTTTTTTTTTTTTCTCTGTGACAAACACTCGTTGTCCCCTTTGGCAAAAGCATGTTTCTAAAATACAAACACACACACACAAGCCGCGTGTCTCTAAATTATTCTCCCCAGTTTTTGCTCAGCTTGTAATACAAGAAAAGCTCTATTGAGGATATGAAGTCAAGAGACTTTATGCAAATTCTAGATATTTTCCTCCTAACAATCCTCGAAAAAAAGGGAAATTTATCCCCAACACAGGCAAAACAACTGGCAAAAGTTTCTCAGAAAATTTTAAGGCATAAAGTTTTAAAGTGTTTCGCCTCTGGGCACAACTGAACAACACACAATTGAATTTACTCCTAAATTTACATACAAAATGATCTCAAACACACATCAACACTGATTCACTTGGAAAATGAAGATGGAAAGTCTTCAATATGTTCATTTCACAGGACTGAAATTGAATTTCAAATTTCTCTATCTCTCTCTATATATATATAATATTGAACAGAATTGGCTGGGTTGGAAGCGAAGAGCATAAATTTCACTTCCTCTATACATTTTGCACATTGCGCTTTGTCATGGCTTTGGCAACATATTCGGAATTGCCGTAATTTTATCTCTTCGTACACCTTCAACCGTAAGCATTCCACCACTTATTTGATCCTCCTCCACGCCATCATTCACCAGAAAGCAGACTTCGTGGAATACAAAATTATCCTCTTTGTCACTCACACTAGAAACTCAGCCACCGACAAGGCCGAATTGCTGAGAATACAGATGAAAGATAAGACAAATTGAAGAATATCCGAATAAAATCGATAAATTTAAAAAGTTTAATTGGAGTTCAAACCAAGAAACAACGGAGAAAAGGAAACTTGAAGAGTGAATTGATGATTCAAAGATAGTAAGTCAGAAGGTGTGAAAGCCAAAGCTTCAAAAAACAGAGGACAGAACCAGAGAAAAAAAAGAAATATATGTTGGGAATTACTAAACACATTAAATCGAATTGACCATGGACAAATAATATAATAAATGGATGAAATAAAGGAAAATAACAAGGAAAAGAACTGGATTGTTTTTCTCCTTGATCGGAAATACACACAAAATCGTTAAGTCTACAGAACTTGAGGAAGATAAAGG